CAAGAAGTTTGTAAAAAAATTGAGCTTTAAATTGTGTTTCCTCTACACGCATCTTCAATTATATTAATTGCAACACCGCGTCGCTCCTCATATACCTACATATATGAACACGGGGGAGGACTGTATAGTGTAGACCCCAGACAGGCAACTTGTTAGGTTAAAAACCCACAATTAAGTTAACGCCATCACATCCCTTTTAATTGTGTTCTGGTCACGTTAAGACCTTCGATGAATATGTATAAACACATTATGCAAATGGTTAGAACTACCTGTCTGGGAACAGTCTGGGCGTTCGCCCTTCAACCTGCGGACGTCAGTGCAATTTAGGGAGACAGAGGATGAAAGAATGAATTAGTGGATGGGGTGGCTGGGAAGAGAAATGGTTTATGCATATTTAAGAGGTTCAGTGAAATAAAAGGGCGGCAATGGTGCGGTTGTTTATAGGATGGGGGGCCAGCTTGAACGATTCAGCTTACGCTCAAAAAATTAACTGCGTGTGTTAAATGTTTTACCCTGCAGAAGGCTCAAAAACAACAAAAGTTTGATTTGCTTTGAGTTCAGGCTGTGAAACTTTGCATGTGATTAACCATCTCAGATAGTGTACGGGGTGACTCAAAATTGGCGTCATTTCTGCAGCAAAAACTGAGTTATTTGCAAAAAACTGCACCAGAAGGACGGCAACAATGTTTTCAAGGTAATGTGCCTCATTAACCTTCCGTAAATTCCTGGTGCTTCTGAAATATCAAAAGCTCAAGTAACCATAGGCTAAACGCCGATAGTGAAGTTGAAATGCAATGGAAAAGTCTATTGAAAGGAAATAAAAAGCCAGTAGAATGATTTGCCTAAAAAACAAGGACGTTTTCCATTTGCTTATTGCAACCGTGCAAAAGATGTGCCGACGACAGCACCTGTCGCCGACACGACCGTCGATCCCCACCCTCATTTCTCGAAGAATAATTTTGCTGGCGGCAAGAAAGCCACTTGCTGCGGCTCTGAGAAGCGGCACTTGCCACTTGCCCTTCCATCCGCATTAATTAAGCCGTGCCCGATTGAGCCCGATAAACGCGGCGGCGCATTGAGCGAGACGACGCGAGCAGCTTTATTCTTTATTTTCGAATTGGAATGGCGCTGGCACGCGGAGATGATGGGGGAACGGCCATGGTTATTTGCATACCAGTCCGTAGGGGATAACTTGTCTAATGTCGAATTAAAATGCCTGGTAGGAAGCGCACTTTTCCTGCGTATGCGTATATCTGCGATATGTCAGCGAGACCAATCGTAATGAGCGTTGTGGCCCCACGAACCAATTTACTTAATGAGGAATCACTGTCATTTTTTTAACGCTCCCAGCTATGTGCTCAAGTACGCTTTAAGCCCATTGTGCAATGATGCCAAAGTGTACTGAATTGTTCAAAATCTTTTGGTCCTTCACTCTATACTTTGTATTGGTGCCTACATCACCTAAGTACTTTGGGATGACAGGTACTTGCATATGTGAGCCACATTTCCAATATTACAGCCCAAGTGATTAACAAGGCATTTACGCCACCGTGTCATAGCAGCGTAACTCATAACTAGGACAGGTTGTTTAAGATCCTTTATTTGTTGACTTGTTGCGTAGCGACGCCTGCTCTATTTCTCTGACAGCATTGGTTGCGGTCTTGTTGCTTCGTTTGTCTCTTTTGAACACTTAGCTTCTCCATTTGACGTATGTCAATGTCAAGATTAAAGGGGCATTTGTCTTTTTTTACTTTTGAAAGTTTTTGTCTCAAAAATACCCAATTGAACTCTTTGTGCCCCCACTTAAAAGCATGAAAACGTGATAAAGGAAATCACTTTCATCACAGGCGAGTGGGAATGGAAAATAGAATATTGTGATATTGCCTGAAATTGACATTTTGATGGATGCGCTATTTTCGAATTTCATGGCAAGTTGATGAAATAAATGGCACTAATAGCAATGCAAAAATTGAAAATGGAGCATTTTAAGTTACTGCTTTTCGCATAATTTGTTTTTTATCGTGCCTTGATCCAACATTTTATTTTTTTCCAGATGGACGTTACGATTGCAATAAATTGAACCATTTGGAAAATTAGGAGCGTTACCACGTAAGTGTTTTTTCTGGTTGTCCTGGTTAATTTATTGATAAAAAATGGTGACAAATCACTTAAATTCTGCAGAAGCTGCCAATAAACTCACCAACTCCAATTTGGGGCGACAGCTTGGACAATTATGACCTGATGTTGTTTGGCGATGTTGCCAGTTCTTTAAAATCACTACTATTTAACTCAGAATTTCCAATTTTTTGACACTTGTCTGTAGCACCTCTTATTTGGGCAAGTAGCAACAGTTTTACTTTATTTAAATTCAGTTTGTTGGCGCATTTCAAAGCAGTTTTATTGACAACACAGCTTTTTGATTAGGCATGCGATCAGCAAAAAACGAGCATTATTCCAGCGTTCACTGTTGCCGTCCATCTCAATACATCCCGTATAACAATAACAAAAAGTACAAAACTGAGTTAAAATACGTTCTAGATTGATTGGAAAAATTGTATTTTATATTGCGAGATTGCCAGCTTGGGCGTGTGTTCTCGATGGTTTGAAGACATTTTCAGGGTAGTTTCCGATTGACTACAAAAGAAAAGTGGACTAATTGAGCGCAAATAAAGCGCAGTTTGCAACAAGACCAGTTTTTAATGTTTTTCTCCGGAATTTTAGAACATACGGTATATTTTTGAAGGCAAAAATTATGAAAACCACAGTTTTATAAGTTTGTTGGTTAGAGAGTTAGGCCCATAACAGGATCGTTTTCTATACACTTTCGATGCTTCAATGGCAAAAGTTTAAAGCGATGTGTATAATATTATAATATTACTTATTATTAATTTATAACGTAAGTTGTGAGGACTCTGGTTTGGACGCAAAAACACTCCAAATTTTTACATTTGCTACTTTTTGCCATCCAGCCAGTGCCGTGCTCGAACGCGCTCGGCACAACAAACGCACTAAAGAATGTTGAGTGTCAAAGTTGAGTGGATTCTTTTGGGCACAACATTGGATTTGACGTGAAAAACACTTTAAATTTAGCAATTTTTAATTTTTGACTCGGTGGGCTCGGCACAACAAACACACTAAAGCTTTAATGTCAAAGTTGTGCGGATTCCTTCTGCCACGACACTGATTTGACGCGAAAAACACTGCAAGTGTCAGTTTTTTCAGTTTTTGTCAGTCAGTGTTGTGCCCGAAGGTCTTGGCATAACAAAGGCATTAAAGCATTAAAGCGTGTCAAAGTTGTGCCGAGAGAAAAGAGCTCAAAAGCAAATGTTAGTTGGAAAGAAAAATAATGACTTAAGTAACCAATAACCACACAGACTGTTCCAGTTCCAAAGTTCCTTGATCCATCCAGGGAACATAACCGATTGCTCCCATTGTTGAATTATAATCAACGCAATAATCTTTTGAACTAAAGCATAGATTTTGTTTGGTCTGGCAGGAAATTGGAAAAATTTTCCATTGTTTGCAGCAAAAAACGTCCAGATAACAGGCCGGATTCCTCTAATAGGTCAACATACAACAGATAAGGTGATAAAACCGATCGTAGCGTTCATAGGCTGACAAGGAGAGTGGTTTGGAATGCGTGCGCCATTTAATATGTAAATTGTAATATCCTAAGCGCTGCCATTAGACAATGTGAAAGAATTAGAAGACGGGTGGTGTGGAAGCGGGATAGACAATGGATTGGTGGAAAGTCGGCGGGATGTAGAAGGCGAGCACTCGCCATCGCACAAAAGCGCTAAAGAAGGTCACAACAGCTGCCGAACAAACTTGTTTCCCATTCGCTTGGATGTCAGACAAGGGAAACCCTCGAAATTAATATGGACGTCGCCCCCGTCGACCCGCACAGCCTCGCAATATGCCAAAATGGTGGGGCATCGGACGCGGTGATTGGCCGGCGCCGTAGCCCTCACTGCTCAACTCCCAAAGAGTGAGCAGAAGTTCAAATCGCAAACAGCACCAATAGTTTGTAGAGTAGTGTTATGGTGGACGCAGCGTGAACACGTTTTAACCGGTTTAGAAGGAGAGTGAAAAAGTAAAACCCCACTGGAAGACTTTCCACATAGTGAGCCGCTTGCCCGCTTTATTTCCTTTAATGACGTTGCTTTCAGTTATTTTCTGTTGGATTTTGTTGTGATATGGAACGTAGTAGAAGTTACGGGTTTTTTACGAAAAGGTCAGTTTTGTTTTGTTTTTATTATTAATTTTTTCGTTGCTTTTGCATTGCGCTCTTGGTCGGGTTCAGCTCACCGAGGAAGTGAACGGGTATGTTCAATGTACATGTGGTGTATGTGTCGTGCAATTGTCTAAAGTATCTATGCTATCTTAAAATGGCGGCCAGCAGCTTGCTTCCATCTTTATTGTGTTGTGTAGAACCGCCGCTTGCGCAGACTAGTTCTGATGGTTGGGATGTAGACTAGGGGGGACCCGACCCTCTTGTCTATTGTGAAAGCCGCAGCTGCGCACAAGAGAAGCCAATTTTTATTTTTTGCAATCCAATGAATTTATTAACGACACGGAATACGGTACTCTATGGGCGTCAACGCCCGCTCGCGTTTTTCCTCAACTACTAACAAGCCATTTGTACATACATGTGGTTTGTGCTGTTTGTGTTCCAACATTCACTAATACGGCAACTGTGGTAGGCACCTACCTGTGATGAAGGTTGCGCACTAAACTAGGTATGTAAGTGCAATTTTCCCCGTAAATTAGGTGCAGTCACTGCGCAATCACGTTCACCGTGCCACGAACCCGATGGGGCAACTTTTGAAGCAACAAATTTGGCAAAAACACCAAAAACTTGGCCTCACCACACAAACAAATATTTCCTAAAATCTCACAAATCCCGTCATGGCCTCTCTGCTTCACCACTGCTCCTAGTTGACCGTGGAAGTTGCCAGCGGAGCCCTTGAAAATCCCTCAACCTCGTCCTCCTGCCAGTAAAGCCACTTCAAACCCGAAAATATTTGAACACATCAACAAACCCCAATATCCCATCGCCCATGGGGGGCAACACGATTACCTCCAATCGATAAACTCGAATCACCCACATGTTCCATCAAAATTTCTTCTGGACATTCAGCCACTTCAACTATGTTTGGGACAAGCTGGCAATGCCGTGCGCCCATGCAGCTGCGTGGTGCCGCTTAAAGCAGCACATCCCAAAGGCAAAGCGATCAAAGAGAGGCCGAACCTTAAAGGGGAACTGTCATTTCCGGGGCCCGCTTGATTGAATGAGCGGCCGCCGTTAAATAAATGGAGGGGCTCCTTGCAAAAAGGGGGGATCCTTTCAACGAATTATTAATATGCATTGAAGGTAATTACGTGGTTTCGCTCCCACTCCCGCTTTCCTGAGTCAGTCAGTTTTTTGTTTGTAGGTCAAATGCAATAAATTCCGCCCGAGTAGGTCAGATTTGTTGCGGTTGTCAAGGTTTTTAGGCAGAAATTGCAATAAGTAGATTTTTATGGCCGTTGAAGGCCAGTTCTATTGTCGTTTTGCCTTAGATCTCAGATTTTGATACTAATGGGTGTTTAGGCCGTCGTTCGGTAGAGTTTCTTCTTGACGTTTCGCAAGCACGAGTGGCTTGCATCTTCAGAAGTGGTTTGCTT